CCCCCCCTCCCCCCCGAGTGCACAAATTTTTGTGCACCGGGCCTCTAGTATATATATAATATTTCAGAGCGGAAGGGAGAGGAAGAGATAGAAACATCCATGATGAGAGAGAATCATCGATCAGCTGCCTCCTGCACACTCCACACTGGGGATCAAGCCTGCAAACAGGGCATATGCTCTGACTGGGAATCGAACCATGACCTTCTGGTTCATAGGTCAATGCTCAACTACTGAACAACACTAGCAGGGCCTTTTTTTAAAAAAAATATTCTCACCCAAGGATATTAGAGAGAGAGAGAAAGGGAAAGGGAGGGTGGGAGGAAGAGAGAAAGAGAGAGAGAGAGAGAAACATTGACGTGAGAGAGAAACATGGATCCGTTGCCTCCCATAGGCGCCCCGGTATGTGCCCTGACTGGGAATTGAACCCACAAGCTTTTTATGTACAGGACGACTCATCCAACCAAGTGAGCCACCAGGCCAGGACACCTGCTAATTCTAGAAACTTTCCTTAGTGAGACAGGAAATGCCACGATCTTATTGAATATGCCTGGGATATGTGCACACCCCGGCACATGGGGATGGTGTCAATTCCATAAAAAACAATACACTAAGAGAAGAAAAAGGTACTTATCCAGTGAATATTGGGAGTTGCTTCTTGGAAAGGGGAGAATGTATGCTGCTTAGAATAAGTATCAAATGCCACTAGATCATCTAAAAGTATAATTTTAAAAGTAAATGTGATCTATTTGAAAGCAAAATTATAATCAAATTAATATTGCAAAATAAATTTCTGCTGGAAAACAAAAAGAACACTTAAATTTTCCTGGTGTTCCATTTCTTCATTTGCTATGTGTTACCCTGTATTTGTCACATAGCATTTTTGAATATCTGTCCATGTCAATAAATATAGATCTACATTGTCTACTTTTATGTCTACATATATGCTGTCATATGGTTACAACAATAATTTAGCCAATCTCTTATTGTCAGATATTTAGGCTGTTGGCCAGTTTTTTATTACCAACAAGACTCTTGAATATACCTCTTGACTTACACTTCTAATTATTCTCTTAAGATAAATTTCAAGGAGGACTGTTAGATGTTTATTTATTTATTTTTAC